GATCTCATGGAAGGGGACTCCTACCCGCTTCCTCCTCATCCCCCAAAGTTCAACAATCGCGATGGTCGAATCATGATGGAAAACATTGAAAGTTGGGCTCGTACCGCCTATGGATATCGTGGAATTCGACTTGATTATATTTTCCGTGAAAATTCTGAACTTCCAGCTGCTGGTGACCCTGGATTCCTCCAAGCCGACGACGGCTCTTGCGCCATCGAAGAAGAACTTGTCCGACGTGCTGCCCACACTGGTGCTGCTGTGTTCCGTCGCAATAACCAGAAATTTTGGATTATGCTCCATGCCGTCACACATGAAACTGATGCCTACAATCATGTTCGTCAATTTGCTCCAAGTTTGAATGGTCGTGCTGCTTACTTCGCTCTGTTTGCACAATATCGTGGAAGGGGACACTTCACCAATGAACGCCAAGCTGCTGTCCGTGTCCTCGCAACACTTCACTGGAACGGCAAAGCTCGAGGCTTCACTTGGAATACTTTTATCAGTCGCCTTATTGGAGCCTTCAACGACCTCGAGTTGAACGGTGATCCACGCTCTGATGCAAATAAGGTTGACGTACTTCTCGAGAAAACTGTTGGAGACTCTTCACTTTCCAATGGAAGATCACACATTACAGGAGATGCCGTTCTCCGATCCAATTTCCAAGGTGCCATCGATTATTTAACAACACAAGTCTTAGCTGCAGGTAACGACAACACCCAGCGCCGCAATCAACAACTTGCTGCTTTCACCCGTGGTGGTGGCGGACGCGGTGGTGATGGGAGAAATGGAGGTCATTGCCAAGGAAATGGTGCCACAAACCGCCTGCAATCAAATCGCCGCAATGGTGGTGGTGGTCGTGGCGGAAGAGGCCGCGAAGGCCGTGGTGGTCGTGGTCATGGTCGTGGTATCAGCGCTGTCCATGATGGACGAGCTGATCAAGAAGAAACAAAAGAAGATAGCGATGATGGGCGTGGGGCCGGTGCAGGAATGAGTCGTCGCCGTTGCAACAATCGTGACGATGATTGACTAGGAACCTCATCTGTTGGATCCCTAACAAGCATTCACCCAAATTCTCGTATGGTATCAGTCCTATCATCTACAAACACTCTTACCAACCGATGTGAACTGGACTCGCACGCAGATACATGTGCTTTTGACCCTGCTGGATGTTGCGTCCTTTCAACGTCCTCTCAGTCAATAAATGTCACCGGTTTTCACAATGGTTTGAAAATAAACGATGTTCAAATTGGGAATGTCTGTCTTGCCTTTGACTGTCCATTTGATCATCGAACCTACTGTCTGCATTTCTGTGAAGTGCTTCTGATCCCTGGTCTAGGATCGCATCTACTCTGTGTCGACCAACTGCGTGCCAACAACGTAGTGGTAAATGACGTGCCGTTAATTCGATTGCGGCCTGAACAACAAAATAGAGAAGCTCATGCTATTTTGACATCAGGTCTAAGGACCCCATTACTATTCGACAAACCAATTTCCTACTTTACATGTCGCCAACCTACAGATGAAGAGATCAACGATATCATGGATGGCTGCAGACATTCCTTGGCAGCCTTATGACCCTGACTCTCGGCGCCAAGAAGAAGCTCTGCAACAACAGATCGATGCTGACTATCAAGCACCGTATCACCAACTCGCATCTTTCACTCGACTTGATTCAACGCTCCCAACTGCTGCTTGCCTTGATTGTTTACCGCAAGTTTTAGGGGACAGCAACAATGGCGTATGTGGTGTACACAGTTTGACGATTTGATCGATGAAAACTTCCGGAAAATCGTACCTCATCAAGCCGGATCAACTTGCTCGTCGATGGAGAACCAGTTTTGAATGTGCTCGTCGCACCCTGGAGAAGACAACTCAACGTGCCGTTCGTGATTGGTCACTTGTTCAAGGGTCTCGTCGTTTTCGCCCTGTACAATATCAGTTGGAGTATCCAAGATTGAAAACAAATGTCTATGTTGATGTTAAGTTTGGACCCTGCAAGTCAGCTGAAGGGAACACTTGCGTCGTGATCTATGCTACACCAGTACAGTGGGCTCGTGCTTATCCGTTGAACAAAGAATCTGTTGTTCACACAAGCCTCACACAACTATTTCGTCAGTTCGGTTTTCCCCAATGTCTCATACCTGACGATGCCAAGTCACTCACTCAAGGGAAATTCCGAGAAGTTGCTAACAAAGGACAAGTGCCAATTCATCCTATTGAGCCTCATCATCCTAATCAAGCACTGACAGAAGACACAATTCGGGAAGGAAGTCGACTTTACCGTCGATTCATGCATGCAAGGAATATCCCTATTGCGTTCTGGGAGCGAGTTTTTATGTATGCTTTTGAGATTCGCAGTCACATGGCACTGGGACTTGCAATACAAGAAGGAGAATGTGGAGCCACAATCGATTCTGGCAACACTAAAGATATCTCTCACCTGGTTGATTTTGCTATTTGGGATTGGTGTTGGTGCCTCTCACCTAATCGCTCATCTAAGGATGGGAAACAACTATGTCGTTGGCTTGGTCCAAGTTTTCCTATTGGAGCAGCTCTTTGTTTTGCTGTTGCTATTGCCAATGGACAAGTACTACAACGATCGTCAGTGATTCCTTTATCAGCTGAAGAACAAAACAGTGAACCCATGGAAGAGAAGAAGAAAGAATTTATGGAAGCTCTGAAGAAGAATCTGAAGAAGAAGTCTGATGGAGTTTCTATCTCTGAAGAAGACCTTGATCGCATTTGGCATAAATACAACATGCCGATCTCTGCAATCGAAGATGGTGGTTACCCGCAGTATGCACAATATGAAGATCACCCACAAGAAGATCCTCGCCACAAGATTGCAGATGATTTTGAAGAGCTGCCAGATCAAGAATCAGATCCTGTTGAGTTTGACAAATATGTCTCTGCAAAAGTATCGTTTAATTCAGATGGAGTTGAGACTTTCGGAGTTGTTCAAGGTCGGAAGCGTGACTCATCTGGAAAATTGATTGGTCACTACCACAAGAATCCACACCTTGACACATCTATCTATCAAGTGGAGTTCGAGGATGGAAAAGTGGAAAACTTCTATGCAAATCAGATTATTGAAGGGATAATGATGAATGTCGATGATGAAGGTAATACGATGTACCGGATTCGCGAATTTATTGATCATCAACGTGATGGACGAGCAGTTAGAGGGGACGATGGATGGTATACTACCTCTAGCGGTCTCAAGCGTCCACGAAAGACAACTAAAGGATGGAAATTATTAGCTGAAATGAAAGGTGGAGAAACCGAATGGCTTGATCTATCAGTAGCAAAAGAAGCGTTTCCTATCGAGGTCGCTGAATATGCTGTTGCAAACAAGCTTGTGTCAG